ATACTGTACAATAATGTGGAATGGAAGAGATGGTGGGGCAAGTGAAATGAACCACCACCAACCACACCAAAGGCCAGTCTTCATCCAGAGAAGGTGATGTTGTGTATATGGTGAAATTGGAAGGGAGTCCTCTGTTATGAGCTCCTTCTGGAAAACCAAACGATTAATTCCAACAAGTACTGCTCCCAGTTAGACCAACTGAAAGCAGCACTCGACTAAAAGCGTCCAGAATTAGTCAACAGAAAACGCATAATCTTCCATCAGGATAACGCAAGACCGCATGTTTCTTTGATGACCAGGCAAAAACTGTTACAGCATGGCCGGGAAGTTCTGATTCATCCGCCGTCTTCACCAGACATTACACCTTCAGATTTCATTTCGGTCTTTACAAAATTCTCTTAATGGAAAAAATTTCAGTTACCTGGAAGACTGTAAAAGGCACCTGGAACAGTTCTTTGTGCAAAAAGATAAAAAAGTTTTGGGAAGATAGGGTTTCCCTGGTGGTGCAGTGGTTGAGAGTCCGCCTGCCGATGCAGGGGACACAGGTTCGCACCCCGGTCCGGGAAGATCCCGCATGCCGCGGAGCAGCTGGGCCTGTGAGCCATGGCTGCTGAGCCTGCGCGTCCGCCGGCTGCGCTCCGCAACAAGGGGGGCAAAAAAAAAGGTAAGAGCCCCGCACACCAAAAAAAAAAAAAAAAAAGTTTTGGGAAGATGGAATTATGAAGCTGCCTGAAAAATGGCAGAAGGTAGTGGAACAAAAGGGTGAATACATTGTTCAGTAAAGTTCTTGGCGAAAATGAAAAATGTGTCTTTTGTTTTTACTTTAAAAACCAAAGGCACTTTTTTGGCCATCCCAATACTTCATTAGCATATGATGTGGAACAGAGAGTAACTCATTTGCAAAGGTGAGAAGTTAATCTGGGAATGAGAAATGGTCCCTCAGTATCACTCCACCTATTGCAGTCACAGCTCATAAGCCTGTGGGTTACAAGTATGCCGCTGACCAGTGTCATCTCCTGCCTGTTCTCGCCAGACACCCTTGCACTTGGCAGTGATCACCAGGCAGGAGGCTGTGGTGGAGGACTTGCTGAGGGCCGGGGCGGACCTCACCCTTCTGGACCGCTCGGGTAACTCTGCTTTGCACCTGGCTGCCAAAGGAGGACACGATGAAATTCTCAGCATTTTACTCAAGCACAAGAAGGCAGCACAACTTATCAACCACCCCAACGGGGAAGGTAAGAGACGGTGTAACCCTCTCTGTCTGCTTTCTACACAAAAAGTAGCTCTCTGGTAAATGTGTGTTATTTGATTGGCACCCCAAAGTGCTTTCCTCAATCACTTAGAATTCATCATCTCTTATGGAAATTTCCATTGCTGGCTGTAGCTAATTCCTTTAAAGATGATTTGGAATAGTCAGCCAGCAGGAGGAAAAAGCAAAGGCCTGAGCAAACACCAGTCTTGGTATGTAGAAAGCATCCGTTATTCGGAGAATGCTTATATGCGCTCAGTGTCTCCTGAGAACGTGAAAGGAGTCTGGGTTTACATGCAGAACAACTGACTTACAGCACCTGTAAAGACTGTCTGAAGGAGAGATTCTGTCGGCACTTGACATGCTGACCCCCGACAGCCTTCCCTCCCTGTGACCGTGCCTGTGCTTGGGCTGCAGGTCTGAACGCCATTCACGAGGCCATGATGAGCAACAGCCTGCCGTGTCTGCTGCTGCTCGTGGGCGCAGGGGCTGACGTCAACGCTCAGGAGCGGAAGTCGGGGCGCACGGCGCTGCATCTGGCCGTGGAGCACGACAACATCTCCTTGGCTGGCTGCCTGCTCCTGGAGGTGAAGGATGCGCTTACCTGCCTTTGCATTCAATTCCCAAAGGGGATTGGGGGAAATCTTTTCGAAGAATGATGTCGCGAACAGGTTATCTCCCTACATTCTGCTCCACCTTTGTAACATCTACTCTATCTACTCGACGCTTCAGAATAGGAGCTCAGGCTCTCCCGGCATCCCTTGCCTGGTTATTTCTAACTGGGGATTTCTTCAATGGCAGAGCCTGCCCAAAATAGCAACAGGGCTGGTAATATGACCCGGGGAGCCATGCAGACAGGGGGAGGCGGGGAAAAAAGGGCGAGAGAACCTTGGACTAACCCTTTTCTGTGTGGGGGGATTTTAGGGTGATGCCCATGTAGACAGCACCACCTATGATGGAACTACACCCCTGCACATAGCAGCTGGGAGAGGGTCCACGAGGCTGGCAGCTCTTCTCAAGGCAGCAGGTAAGGGAGCCTGGCGGTCGGTGATGGAAAATGTCATCAGGAATGCAAACCCAGCCTCGGTAGAGCAGCCATGCCACCTTCTTAAGCCACAGACCTGCTGCGGAAAGGCACAAGTAAATAAAAGTTCTCTGGCAAATCACATTCAACTGCCGTAGAGGCACCGTTTGGACTAGTAATCCTGGGCTTCGTGCTGACAGTCACATTAGCTTTTACTCTCCAGTTCACCTGTTTGTTTTGGATGTGGGTTGTCTTCATTGACCCCCATGACAAGAGATCTTCTTAACGTTGAATCGAATTCCTTGTAGAATTCGGAGCAGTATCCACCTCAGGTCATGTCACAAGTCCTCAGAAGGAAAAGTTTATTGGTATAAGAAATGATTTAAAGACTTCCTTTTGCAAGAAAGGTCCCTGAGAAGCCAAAGTAATAGGAAGAAACAAGTGGGCCGTGTGTTGAGTACTGTCATGTACCAGGCACTAAACATCGCTAGCTTCTGTTGGGCTGTTGGGCTATAGGCACTTCACATGCACTGTCTCATTTAGTCGTACTTAATCCACAGTAACCCTTTGAGACAAAGCCCATTATTAGTCCCATTTTATAGCCAAGGAAACAGACTAGAGAGACTTCTGCATCCCGGTCCCAGGGCCCCAGTAAGGGGCAAAGCTGTGAGTCACACCTCGTCACCCTGAACTTCCAGACTCCATTCTCTCTGCTGTGTTTCTGTCCCCTGTTTTGCTCAAGAATTTGAAGGCGTTATTCCAATTCAATCCTCTCTTCCTGTGAAATATAGAAAAAATTATTCCTGCTCATCCTTGAATCTCTACTGCCTTGTGTATTTAGAACCTCAAAAAATGTTTAATGGAATTGGTATCTCAAGCCTGTCCTGGCCTATGTGATTTACCCTCAGAGGTTATTAAAATTTTTTTAGAAAATAAATGCTTCACAAATTCAAGAAAAGAGAAGATTAAATACCTTCTAAAAAAAACTGAGGCCAGAAAAATATAAGAACCTTTTCTTTGGCAGCACTGCATTTTTCTGACATCACATCCCGAATAAGCAGCAGCCTTTTCTTTCCTCCTTTGTCAAGTTGACGTTCCCGTGAACAGGAGACGATGATTGCAGTGTGTATGAAGAGTGTGGGGAGTCACTGGTTATAATTAAGAAATGCCTTCAGACGAGAAGCTCTGACCCTTCCAAGAATGCTTTCTCTCTAATTCTCAGTATCCCATGAAAGGAGTAGCAAGTAGCAGTTTCTCCAGTATATAAATGAAGAAACTCAGAAGAAAAACCGAGTCCTGAGCTTCCCTGGTGGCGCAGTGGTTGAGACTCCGCCTGCCAATGCAGGGGACACGGGTTCGAGCCCTGGTCCAGGAAGATCCCACGTGCCGGGGAGCAACTAAGCCCACGCGCCACCACTACTGAGCCTGCGCTCTAGAGCCCGCAAGCCACAACTACTGAAGCCTGTGCACCTAGAGCCTAGGCTCCGCAATAAGAGAAGCCACCGCAATGAGAAGCCTGCGCACCGCAACGAAGAGGGGCCCCCGCTCACTGCAACTAGAGGAAGCCCACGTGCAGCAGCAAAGACCCAACTCAGACAAAAATAAACAAAATTTAAAAACAAAAACAAAAAACCTAGTCCTGAGCTCAGAGTCATGAAGAAGATCACTTAAGGAACAGACCTAGTTCAGCTTCTCCATCTTTGGTCCTGCAAATTGTTCATCCTAGTTTCTCTACTGTTTCCGTGGTCGGGTGACACTTACTGCCCCAGAGATCAGGCTGCAGCTGGGAGAACAGAGTAAGAAGTGGCATGCAGATCCTCTTGTTAGGCACTCCCTATTATTGAAGTTGTCAAAAGTCAAACGTCCTCCCAGCAAGACTAAAACAAGGTCCTCTTTCCAAAAGGGGAGCGTGCTGAACTTCCTACTGTTGATCAGGCAGCAATAAAATAGTCTCTCTAAGCCTTTGAGAAGTTAACTCTAGCCTTAATTTTTGAGTTACTTCACGTGTTTCTCGCTGCTGGCTAAGGAACAGACTAGATTTTCCAAGATTGGCCCTAACTTTTTCAACAACTCCACATCCTACCAGAAGGTTTTCTTGGCATGTTGCGTTTAAGGATCAGTGCCGTACCCAGGAGTAAAGCGGAACAGGTTGGCACTGGACAGCAAGCAGCTTTGCTCTTTTGAGCCAGCAGGTGAAGAGGCTGAGAAACGTGCGGCGCTGGGCATCAATTTGAACATTTAGGACCTTAATCCTGAGCGTGCACCCTGGTCCCTGTAAACTGCTGCTGTCAGTTCTCAGGTTAAAGATGCATCGTTCACTTGAAAACTATCCTATAGCGTTAAATGTGAGAGTCAGCGTGTTCCAGGTCTTTTGTTTTTGAAAGTGTCCTTGGCCATATGGCGTATCTGCAGTCAAGATGCATTAGAACTTATTTAAATTTAAATTTTTAAGTTTAAAAGCAGGTTTCTGGATATTTCAGTAGAAAATGTGTTTTATATGCTTATAAATTAACATGTTTTATCTATTTATAGACTCTGACCCCTGCAGGCAGTTAGAAATTGACAAGATGTGGGTTTACCTAACGCTGTGTTAACTTGACTTCGCAGGAGCAGATCCCCTGGTGGAGAACTTTGAGCCTCTGTATGACCTGGATGACTCTTGGGACGAGGATGGAGAGGATGAAGGAGTCCTGCCAGGAACCACTCCTCTGGATATGGCCACCAGCTGGCAGGTGAGTGCGGCTCCGCCCGTGTGCTGGCTGCTCCTGAGGGAGCTGCAGGTCCAGGGACGTCAGAGCAGGTGGCCTTCCTCGGTCTTTACTCCCCAAAGCACATGCCTGTTATTTTTTAAGAAAGTCTGTTTGTCAAGAGCTGTATTTATCTTGAAAAGCCTATCTGTGAAAGATCTAGGTCAGCAGAGTTCTGAGTGTAAAAGTATATGCCCAATCAGATCAGAGTTAGATGAGAGAAACACAAAATTCACGCTACAGGTTACCCACTCTGAACTCACACCACAGTCGTTCCCATCTCAGTTTCTGAAGCCAGGATAAATGTTACGGTTGGCTTGAACTTCGGTAAGTGATTTCTGAACATAAAAAGAAATGGGGATTCTTCTGAGGATCTGCACAAATGTAAACAAAGTAAACAGCCTTAAAGCTTTCCTCGGAACTCTGCTGACCTGAGATCTGAAGGCGAAAGCAGTTACTGGGTCTTTTGGGCGCCGGGAGGGGAGCCAGAGGGAGGAGGTGGGCGGCCCAGCTGAATATTAACCCTTTGCAGGGCCAGGTGCCGCTCCCTGTCCAAAACTGCTCGCTTGCCCCTCGCGGGCCGCGTGGGTTGAGCTGAGGGACCCTGGCGGAGAGACCACACGGCTCTCTTTACGTTGGACGCCTGGTTTTCCCAGAAGCCTCACCACAGGACACAAAGATAACCCACTTCAGCGACCCCATGTGGTCCTCGCCCAGGTCAGCCAGCCACCGAGCGACTGCAGAGAGCGCAGAGCAGCCCCCAGAACTATGCAGTTTTGTTTTTTTCCTCCCTTTTAACCTAAGACTTTTCTGGCCCCGCAGTTAAAATGTGGCTGGTGCCAGGAGGCTGACCCCAAGCCCTGTGAGCGCTTGTACACCTCAGTTTGGGCACGTTCGTAAAACTCGCTCTCAGAAGCCTTTTCACTAGGGAGGAGGGGCAGCCGCAGAGCCCAGCTTCACAGCTCAGCGTGAGCTCAGCCCCCTCCCTAGCTCTCAGGGAACATCGCTGACCGACACGTGGCTGACTGGGTGGCCTAGACTGCCTCTGCCCCTCAGCAGGGCCGTGGCCTTGGCTCTGTGTGAGGCTGGGTTGGGTCTTCCTCCCCACCTCAGGCGGCTCCCGCGGAGCACAGCCTCCCAGGCCCAGAGCCCCCCCCAGAGGGCACGCGTATTCCCGGGCGATGGTACTGACCCCTCTTCCCATTCCTCCGTCTTTGGGGTCCTGGCCCCTCCTGAGGAGGACACGCCGAGTCCTTTATATTACAGAGAAGCAGATTTCCGTCATGGTCCCTGTAATGTGCAACATCTCCCCGCGCTTTTCCTCCCAACAGGTATTTGACATATTAAATGGGAAACCCTATGAGCCAGAGTTTACATCTGACGATTTACTGGCACAAGGTGAGTTGTGGGAGAAGCGGGTTCTTTGAGCCAGTGTCATCTCCACCCTGTCACTGAAGGGGGGGTCAGGGTGTGCTGTGAAAGGCACAGGGGCTTCTCTCAGAATCAGGAGACCCTGGAGGGGTGCCACGGAGAAGGTCCGGCTGTAAATTACGACAGCGTGGGCTGCTGCTGACTTCCAAGTGAAGGAGCGTGATTGCTTCCCCGGGGCGGGAGGGTGAGCTGTGTGGCAGTGATCCATCCCTCCGGAGCGTCTCTGGTCGGTTAGGACGGTCGTGTTTCTTCTTTATTCTCTTCAGGAGACATGAAACAGCTGACTGAAGATGCGAAGTTGCAGCTCTACAAGTTGCTAGAAATTCCTGATCCAGACAAAAACTGGGCTACTCTGGCACAGAAATTAGGTTTGGGGATACTAAATAATGCCTTCCGGCTGAGTCCTGCTCCTTCCAGAACTCTCATGGACAACTACGAGGTAACACGTCGTCTTACATCTTTGACTACGTTTATTTGACTTTGCTCTGTTAACACCATTGGCCGGAGGATAATCCCTTTCCTTCTCCCTTAACTCTGAGGAAGAAAATCAGTCATTACCCGTGTCCTGGGAGGGTTGACCCAGGACAGCAGGAAACCCACCTTGGCTGTTCTCAGACACCTTGAGACTTGCTGCAGAAATGCTCCTTAGAGTGTCAGGATGGTCACAGAACTTTGATCTTGCTGAACAAAGACGAAAGACTGTAATCAACCTTCATGCCTTGCCCTCCCCAAGAACATGCCTTGATTGCATGTCAGCACATGGAACCAGTGACGTGACTCCTTGCGGAGCCACTACCTGGCGATGCTCTCCTTTCTAAAACGAGAAGGTAGAGAAACACGGGGTGAAATTACTTTCTGTGGCAAAGTTCATCATCAGGTCGTTTCCCAGCGGCTTCCAGAGCCTCAGGGACACGGGGTAGACTTCACTCTGTGCAGAGGTTTACTGCCTCGGCACTTCCTCTGCTTGCTATAAAGTGCTTCTCCGGGATTTCCTGAGTGGTCTTTGAGCTGAAACAGGAACCTTGATTCAAAGACCGCGTACCTTTGAGTTGCTCTCCGCCGTGAGAGCAACCTCCCAGGCCGCCGGCTATCTCGGGGGAAGGGGCGTGCTGTCATGTTCACAGCCTGCCTGCTTGTCCCTGCACAGCTTTGAACGCGGAGACATCCTCCTTCTTCATTTCTGTCTCGCAGGTATCTGGGGGGACAATAAAAGAGCTGGTGGAGGCCCTGAGGCAGATGGGCTACACCGAAGCCATTGAAGTGATCCAAGCGGCCTTCTGCACGTCGGGCAGTGCGGCCACCAGCCCGGTGGAGGCTGCCCCCCAGGCCCACTCGCTGCCCTTCTCGCCTGCTTCCACAGGGCAGCAAATAGGTAAAGAAAAAGGATTGAAAAAGCAGTCGAGACATTTCCCCGCCCTGCCAGGCTGGCGCCTTCAGCCTCTGGGGCTGTGGGCTGTCCTCCCCACCACCATCTCCCGGACACGCCGTCCGCTACGTCCGTCTCCCTCGGGGACCGTAGGTTGTACTGTCTTCCCCTCCGGACGCTACCATTCAGGGGAGGGGCCGTCCCCACAACAGCCACGTGGGCACCCGAGTCGCTCAGGTTCACGGTAAATACCAAAACAGCAGGCTGCAGGTGGTGAAGGCCAGCATTACTTCTCTCACTGCTTAAATTTACGAAAGAGAGAGAAACGTGCAGACCCGGGTCGGTGGAGGCAGGACTAGCGCCCCAGGCTGTGGACTGACGCTGCGACGTTCCCCACCGCTGCCCAGGCTCCCCTCCTGTGGCCCTGTCTCTCCTCCCTTCAGCCTCCCGCCGCGCCCACAACGCTGCCCCGTCACCCCACCTAGAACGCGTGCCCTAATGGACTCCCAGCGCCGCAGTCCTCCATTTCCCTTCAAATGTATTCTCCCGCCCTAACAACCATTTCTCTCATGCTCTCTCCTCCTACACTGCCCACACCCCTTCCCACTCCTCACTCATCCCGTGTCCTCGCCTCACTCCACCGAGAACAGAGGAACCACTAGACTTCTCTCATCTTTGCACCATCAGACCACCAGCCCGCCTGGGCCCGCCTGGGCCCGCCTCTTGCCCGGCCAGGTCCTGCTCCTCTAACCCTCGCTTCGCTCTCACGCCTTAGCGTTTTCTCCCTCCCGACTAGATCCCCTCGCAAGCATGCTGTAGTTTCTCTCATCTTTTCAAAATAAAACGGAAACAAACATCCCCTTGATTCCCCTTTAGCCGCAGCCCGATTTCTCTGTTCTCCTACCCAGCCAGGCTTCCCGGAAGAACTCTGTAGCGTTCTTCTCTCCACCTCCTCTCCTCTCTCCTCGACGCCCTGCGCCTGCACTCGGCCTCTACCTCACCCCTGCACCAGGCCCCTCTCACCACGAGGACCGGCGTCTGCTCACATCTGGTCGCCATCCGCTCGCAGCGCGCATCCCGGGGGACCGCTCTTCAGACAGCCTCCCCTCCGGGCTCTCCCCTGGCACGCTCACCTCCACACTCACCTTTTAAAGTTGCAGCCTCCAGAGCCCCATCCTAGGTGCTCCTTACTCGTCCTCACCTGCCCAGGACTCTTGATACCCACTCACAGCCAGGCTCGGCGCTGGCCATGGCGGTCACAAGCACTGCCATCCTCCAAGAGGTTGCGACTGCGTGTGAACGCTCGCTGGCCCTGACCGCCCCCATCCAGCCCACCTCCATCTCTTGCCTCGATGCCTGCGGCAGCTCCTAGTCAGTCTCCCTGTTTCCAATCTCTCCACCCGCCTTCAGGCCATTCCCTACACAACAGGTAGTGTGATTCTTTTTAAAAATGACATTCCTCCCTCCCCTTCATTCAGCCATTCAACAGATCTCTACTGAGCACATCTGGCGTGCCCACCCACCAGTGTTGCAGGCATTGAAGATGGGTCGGTGAGCGGCAAAGACCGTGTCCCTGCTTCATCTGCTCTCTCTTTCAAACATCGCTTTCGCCTGCGCTTCCTCCTGCCCCCCTGCCCTGCCGCGTGTTCCTTCTGCCCCCCCAGATCACTAGTCCGATCCAGGTTCAGGGTCTTTGAGCTTTCTCGTCCCCTTCCCTGCAGAGGTCCTTACCTGGTGGGCTCCTTCTTGCCGTTCAGTTTCAGCACTGGTGTCACCTTGCTGGGGTGGGAGGGCCCTTCCTAGGGGAGTGAGGACAGGTGTTGTGCACGCTTTAGCAAGGAATAGCGTATCCACCAGAAAACCACCCACATCTCCTGTCATATGACCTGACGCTCTGTCTACACAAAGAAGTAGGTAAATACTTATATTTTTAAAAGTCTTAAGCCCTCAATTTGTAGTTATTTTTAAAATACCTCACAGTTCCTAGCACATAACAGAAACCCATAAAGATTGATGGGTTGAATAAATCAATAACAATAGCCATGCCACTGCCATTAAGGTCTTAACGTTTTAACATTGGAATTTAATATACAAGAAGATAGCTTTTTGATTCGTGTACGGTGGACTTCTGTTTCCTTGGTCACTCTCTCCCTATAGGAAATAATTCACATTGCTCAGATCCCTAAAGACACTTCTCAAAGGAGAATCTGACCTAATTGCCCAGTAGAGGCTCATTTTCATCAAAATCACCTTACTTTTTTGGCTACCAAAATATTTTTGAGGCAGTGTATAGTGTCTAATAGCATACGAGGCCCAGAGGGAGATCTCATTTTTATTTCCTACTTCTGTCACCAATTTATTTTGCCTACGCTCAGCAATTTGCCCAGCTATAAAATAGGTAATACAGTGGGTGGAAAAAATACACCTAATTTCTAAGAAAAAAAAAAAAGGTACACTTTGAGTCTAGAGAATTCAGAAAGGATTCTGATAAACGTGAGGCTAGATTATAAGAAAGAGAGGTGAAAACACTTGGCTAACTTTGACGTTTTCACACTTTTTATAAAGCTCAGTGTTTTCTGTCCCCACCCCCACTCCCCCCACCCCGTGAACAGTAGCAACACCTGGGGCGGCGTAGGTGGGCCCGTGGTGACTGGTGGAGGGGAACAGGCAGAATTCTGCAGCCCACGAGCCTTCCAGATGCACACGGGAGCCCAGCGGGGATGGCCGTGTTCCCCGTGCACCCCTGTGAGTCCGTGCTTTCTCCCCCCAGACGAGTTCCGGGACGACAGCGTCTGTGACAGCGGCGTAGAGACATCCTTCTGCAAACTCAGCTTCACAGAGTCTCTGACCAGCGGCAGCTCCTTGCTAACTATTAACAAAGTGCCCCACGATTACGGGCAGGAAGGACCTCTAGAAGGCAAAATTTAGCCTGCTGGTAGCTTCCCACACCGAGTAAACCAAAGCTCTGCAATTCCATCGCGTTGTCCAGAGTAAGGAAGTGCATCCGAAGGTGCTCCGAGGAATACCGGCCTGCTTGGATCGCTCTGGGGTGTAATTCAAGGCCTCAAACGCGGATTTCTTCTTTGGTTCTGAAATGAATTTTAGTTCAGTTGACTTACCGATAGTATCTACGATCACAGCCCGCGGCTGGGCTGACGCCTCTTTGGGAGTGCGGTAGCTTGTTGAGCTTTACCAGCTGCTTTCTGTTATCATTGCTGCTGTCCCTCTGCTGCTTCCCCACTGTCATTAAAAGTTGTCACAGTCCCTACTGGGTGTTCCTTCTGGCCGTCCATAGCACAGTTGTGCATTCAGATTAAGGATTATGAATTTTAAAGTGAGAGTTATTTGGTGTGTGATTTAAAAAAAAAAAGGCTCATTAGGACTTCCCTGGCTGTCCTGTGATTAGGACTCGGTGCTTCCACTGCAGGAGGCCCGGGTTCGATCCCTGGTTGGGGAACTAAGATCCCGCAAGCTGAGTGGCTGGGGGGAAAAAAAAAAGCTCACTGCTTTTCCTAATGTGGTTCTCTCTGTGATTTGGAAAAAGAATATGTACATGTCAGTATTTAAACATGGTTACAATCAGTCCTGAAAATGGTATTTCCCCCCTTTGGCTGCATTTTGCTATTGTAAATATGTTTTTTAGATCAAATACTTTAAAGGAAAAAATGTTGGATTTATAAATGCTATTTTTTATTTTACTTTTATAATAAAAGGAAAAGTAAATTGATGAGCTCATCTTGTTTGATCTCGACAAATATTTTTCTAAGATTATTCCTTATAATCACGGGATCATTCCATAGCCTGGTTCTCACATCCACAGTTCCCTCTAGAATCAATTTTTTGATCCAGAAATGAGCAAAACAAAAAATATTTCAACCTGAGATGAAAGCTTTGGGTTTGTCAAATCCTTGCCAGGCTCATTTCATTTAGGCTGTGTCACTTCATCTTCCTCCATCATCTCATGCAAAACTGTTTCCTCTTCAACCCTCAATGTGTTCCCAATGCCTCTGCGATGCATAAAGTATTGAAAAGCCTTCCAGCACGAAGCTTTGCTGAACTCTTCACTCAAGAGGTTGAAAATAAGGGAGAGGAGAAATGAAAAGTGTTTGAATGAGGTGCTGTGGTGGACACTGTGATGTGCAACCCAGATCCTTCTTCCACGAAGGACTTGTCAGCCCAGCGGCTGGGGGCACACTAAACCAGTCCTTCATTGTCATTTCAACAGTCTTCACCAGGTATAGATTCCATCTCAAGAAACCACTTTCTTTGCTCATCCATAAGAAGTAACTCTTCATCCCTTTAAGATTTATTATGCGGTTCCAGCACTTCAGTCACATCTTCAGGCTCCACCTCTAATTCTACTTATTGTTTCCACCACATCTGCAGTTCATTCCTCCACTGAAATCTTGGCCCCCTCAAAGTCATCCATGAGGGCTGGAATCAACTTCTTCCAAACTCCGGTAGGAATGTGGATACTTTGACCTCTTCCCATGAATCATGAATATTCTTCATGGCATCTAGAATGGTGAATCCTTTCCAAAAGGTTTTCAATTGAATTTGCCCAGATCCAGCAGAGGAATTTCTACCTATAGCCTTACAAAGTGTATTTCTTAAGTGATAAGACTTGAAAGTGGAAATTACTCCTTGCTCCACGGCTGCAGAATGGATGTTGTGTTAGGAGGCATGAAAGCATCGTTAATCTTGTTGTACATCTCCATCAGAGCTCTCGGGTAACCAGGTGCGTTGTCAATGAGCAGTCCTATTTTGAAAGAAATCTCTTTTTCTGAGCAGTAGGTCTCAACAGTGGGCTTAAAATATTCAGCAAACCATGCTGTGAACAGCTGTGCTGTCATCCAGGCTTTGTTGTTCCATTTATGGAGCACACGCAGAGTAGATTTAGTGTACTTCTTAAGGGCTCTAGGGTTTTTAGAATTGTTAAGTGAGCACTGGTTTCAATTTAAAGCCACCAGGTACATTAGCCCCTAACAACAGAATCAGCCTGTCCTCTGAAGCCAGGCATTGACGTCTACTCTCTAGCTATGAAAGTCCTGGATGGCATCTTCTTCCAATAGAAGGCTGTTTCATCGGCACTGAAAGTTTGGTGTGTAGTGTAGCCACCTCGTTCAGTTATCTTCGATCTTCTGGATAACTTGCTGCGGCTTCTACATCAGCACTTGCTGTTTCACCTTGCTCTCTGGTGTTATGGAGATGCCTGCCTTCCTTCAGCCTCTTGAGCCAACCTCTGCCAGCTTCAGACATGTCTCCTGCAGCTTCCTCACCTTTCTCAATCTTTACAGAATTGAACAAACGGAGGGCCTTGCTCTGGAATAGGCTTTGGCTTAAGGGAAGGTTGTAGCTGGTTTGATCTTCTATCAGCAATAAGGCTCTTTTGCTTTCTTACCTTTGGTGTGTTCACTGGAGGAGCACTTTTCATTCCCTTCGAGAACGGAAGGGAATTGGCTTGGCTAACTGCTGCGAGAGGCCTAGTTTTCAGCCTTTCTTGGCTTTCGACATACCTTCCTGAGCTTGATCGTGTCTAGCTTTTGATTTAAAGGGAGAGACGTGCAACTTTTTCCTTTCACTTGAACACTTAGAGGACCTTGTAGGGTTATTAACTGGCCTGATTTCAATATGGTTGTGTCTCAGGGAATAGAGAGGCCCGAGGAGAAGGAGAGAGACAGGGAACGGCCATTCGGTGGAGCGGTCAGAACACACTCATCATTTATCAGTTAGGCTCACCGTCTTCTATGGGCATGGTTTGTGACACCTCAAAACAATTACAATAGTAACATCAGAGATCACAGATCACCATAACAAATACAATAATAATGAAAACTTCGAAATATTTCAAGAATTACCAAATTGTGACACAGAGACACGAAGTGAGCAAATACTGTTGTAAAAAATGGCGCTGGTTAACACAGGATTACCACAAACCTTCAATTGATGAAAAAAACAAAACAAAAACCCCCCCTGCAGTATCTGCAAAGCGCAATAAAGAAAAGCGCAATCAAACGAGGTATGCCTGTATTCCAGTTTTTGAAAGTTGTATTTTTAAAGTAAAAACAGTAGCTCTGAGTCTCCATAATTCTCCAACAGCAAACCCATGCCTCCATTCCTCCGCCAGTTTCATTCCTCTGTGAGAAACAGCTATTTTCCAGGTGGCCACGATGAGGCCTCCAGTCTTACGGTATCGTGCGGACACTCCTCCTCCTGAGGGGAGGGGCCTACGTTCCTTCTCTGTACATCTAGCCGGGTGTGTGACAAGGGGAGAAGTGATGCTAAGGGATTTCCAATGTTAGGTAAGAAAATGCAATACAACTTCAGTCCCCCTGGGTCGAGTCTCTCCCTCCTGGAACCCAGTCACCAGGCATGCTCTGAGGGAGCCAGTGGCCACGTGGAGAAGCCTCATGTAGGTGTTCAACCAACAGCCTTCACCAAGGTCACAGCCAACGCCGGCGTCAACCAGAGTGAAGCTTTGAGAGGATTCCAGCCAGAGTCACACCTGACTAGCCTTCACGCTGCCTCAGCTGGCACGCGGAGGCCTGCCCCAGTGGCAGATTCAGGAGTAAATGAAACAATGGCTGATGTTTTCAGTCTTAGGTGTGGGGTGGCTTGTTACCGTCTCCAGGTCTCTAGCCCAACAATTCCCACACCAGGAGGTCACTTTAAAGAGAAGCTGACAGCAGGAACAACGAAGCAACTCATGCCCAGACTAAAAATAACATTCCCCTACTTTAATAAGAAGCCCTGCTTCTGTTCCAGAAACTTCCTCTCTCTCCTCCCAGATTGCAGCGCTGGCCTGAGCCTCTGCATGGTGCTCAGACAAAAAGGCTACCAACGCTGTCTGTGCCTCTGAGGAAGGAGTGTTTTTCATTTAGGACCAGCAGATGAGGAAAAATACCAGAAGGAATGCAGGAGACAGGTGGAAAGCTACAATGGGCCTGAAATAAACCTTCCCAGAAAGCTGTCTCTCAGCAGGAAGCCATTTAAAAATAGCTTCCTGGACTTCCCAGGTGGTGCAGTGGTTAAGAATCTGCCCGCCAATGCAGGGGACACGGGTTCGAGCCCTGGTCCGGGAAGATCCCACATGCCGCGGAGCAACTAAGCACATGCGCCACAACTACTGAGCCTGCGCTCTGGAGCCCATGAGCCACAACTACTGAGCCTGCGTGTCACAACTACTGAGCCCACATGCCACAACTACTGAAGCCCGTGCACCTAGAGCCCATGCTCTGCAACAAGAGAAAGCACTGCAGTGAGAAGCCCACGCACCTCAACGAACAGTAGCCCCCGCTCGCCACAACCAGAGAAAGCCCATGCGCAGCAACAAAGACCCAACGCAGCCAAAAATAAAAATAAATTAATTAATTAAATAAAAATAGCTCCCTTAGAACCTTTGTCATCTTTTGAGCTTTCTATACCCTGCAAGCATAACCTAGACTTTTTCAGGATCGGCAGTCTTTCTTTTTTGGCTGTAGGAAGCCAGCCTGCTGCTCATTTACCCACCGGAGTCCCCTGCAGTAGTTGGATGTGGCGAGGATATTCCCAGCACCATCTCGGAGGGCAGCCCCACAAACCCACAAACCGGACCCTCTGCATCTTAGCAGGAGAAAGAGGGGAAGGAGTCAGGCAGATTTGAGCATTTGTTATTTGCCAGCCCCTTTGCTTTAATGAATTCTAGTGATAATTCTCATGACATCCCCATGGGGTACATATTTAACCCCAATTTTACAATGAGGAAACAGATAATCTGAATATTAACTAACTCACCCCAGATTCAAATCCAGGTGTGTCTGATTCCACAGGTTATTCTTTAGCCATACCTGAAGTCCTGTATGTAAGAGAGAAAGAAAAAAATCCATACAAATCTGTATAAGGATGATGGAGTCATAATGTACCCCAGGCAAAATGCAAAGTGAACCCAGAGTATCACTAAAAAGATATGTTGCTTAAATGTTCACATGACTTGATTTTCCCTGTAATAACAGGCTAAGATGCTTAACTATAAATTATTCGTAGACTGGAGGTCTCTAGTTGCATCTCTTTCTCCTCCTTATTTTGTGTTTTTGGGGGAATTTTCTTTCTGATTGTGCTTCCGCAGGTAATGGACTTAGGGAGGCACAGAAGTCCAGAGAAGATGGAACTAAAATCCTTTTATTTTCTTAAGGATCACAGAACTTAGGGCTAGACAGTATCTTAAAGATCATCTAAATAAATCATCCAAATTGCCATCTTTTTTTAAACACCTACGACGTGAAAACATCTCCTCCCTATAATCCTCAGTATAGCTGCTGCTTTGTTACACCACCAATCCCACAGACTACAAGTTCCTGTCCATGGGTTTTCTAGGTTCGTCGCTTGGGTTTGGGGTTGAGGGAAGTGCTGAGGAGGGGCGTGAAATTAAATGGATAGCATTCTCCGTTATTATAGATTCCACTGTGTCTGTAATAGCCTGCTTCCATCACCCTGGACAAGTGACTAGGTCCACAAATTGTTCAAGTTTCTTAGAATAAGAGGGAGGAAGGGGCTGAGACAGCATTTTCTCACCTGCAGCAATTAGCTTTTCCATATTGATATCTCTCTCCAAAATGATTATTTCATTAAGATATCACAAAAACCCTCAAGGAACGAAGATATGTATTCGGTCTAGATTTCTCGAGCATCTGTCACCTGCCAGGCTCTACAGTGAGTGGTGACTCATTATCCCATATTACTTGTTCAAAAACTCTGTGAAGTAAGAACTTTGTTGCAATTTTACAGATGAGGAGACTGAGGCACACATAAAGCTTTTAACCCACAGGATCTCCTGTCTCCACTCACGTGTTTCAATAAACCACACTTGCAGTAGGGGACAGGGGTGAGTAGGGCATCTCTCTTCCACATAGTCATGAAGGGATCCAGGCTGACAGTGACTCTCCCTCCAACCCTTGGCTCCTAAGGTCTTGCTGGGGGTGATGGTCCAGTCAGCTGGAAGGGAGAGCACGGAGAAGTACGTGTGGGGGTTTAGAATGGGCCCCTTCCTCCCTCACACTGCAGTGGAAAAAAACTTTAGTCCCATGGCCACACCAAGAGCTGGGAGGCTACCTACGTGGGTGATCTACTTTTGTTCCCAGTATCAGGAGGGAGGTTGCTTTTGGCAAACAGGTCCCGGTTTCTGGCACAAATCAAAATTCCTTACCTAAAGGATGGAGATTGAACCTGAAGTTCCTTCGAGTTCCAACTTATGTGCAAACATCCACTCACTCTGAAAGCCACCTGCAATCATGCTAAATGGCCATCATCAAGGGCAAAATCATTTCCCTGGATTAAGAAGGAAAGATGCATTGGAAGGACAATGTCACAGGTTCTCTTACGGAAATCCTCAGAGATGACCAAGGGTATTAGATCAGGTAGGATGAGGGGAGGGACAGTTACCGCAGCAAAGTCTTGTTATCCCTGCTCTGACTCAGGAGGACTCCCGCTCTCCAGCCTCCATGGTCTGTAGTCCCTTAAGTGCCGTGCAAGAGCCCTTGGGCATGTTGATGCTAAAGCTGAAGGTCTTCAAGTGGCCGTGGTGCTTGGGATCCCACCCAAAGGAGAGGGACAAGCAAGTTCATCTTTCTTGCAGTCTGCAGAGAACTGGCAGAAGACTAGCAGATGAAACTGAATTCTAGCAATCCCATCTCCCAGGCTTCCTTCTTGGGACTCAGGAAGCAGAGTTGGTGCTGAAGATGGTGAGATGAAACCTTGAATACGACGGCATCAGCTCAGGGAGGGTGACGAGTTGATGCCGGATATCAGATAACCATGCTGCTAGGTCTATTCTCTGGCCAGAGAGAGATTTTTTCTTTCCAAACCTGTTTTACAGTTTTCCTTCCCTTTCCTAAGGCAAGAATGCACAACTGAAGTTATTTTTGCTTCAAAAATTTTAAATGAAGGGCTTCCCTGGTGGCGTAGTGGTTGAGCCTGCCAATGCAGGGGACACGGGTTTGTGCCCCGGTCCGGGAGAATCCCACATGC